CCTAATTTCCTGCTTCCCTCCTCCTGCACCCAAATACCCTTTTTGCTTCTATCAGTAAGAGGCTTGCAGGCTCCAGCCCGGCTGGGTTCCCTTCTCTGTGGTCTGGGACAGACAGTGCATAAACCCAAACAGTTAAGTCTGATACTACAGATTCATCTCAAACCAGTTTCAGCCCTTTTCAAACTGGTTTAAGTGCACTAAATGTTTGTTCAGTTACAAGTTTAAACCAGTATCCCATCACTTAAACTGGTTCATGTGTAATGTTTGTCCCTGCGTGCCTATCCCAGCCTGCACAAAGGTAACCTGAGCCTGGGGCTCCTGCTGCAATGCAAGGGCAGGATGAACCCAACAGGTTCAAAGCAAACCTGGAACAAAAAAAATCTCTGCATCAGCCTTGGCATTGCACCTTTTGCTTCTGAGGTTCTCAAAGCCCCTTGCAGAGCAGCTTGGTGAGGCATTCCCTTTCCCAGGGGATAGACAGGGAAACTGAGGCACAGAGAGGAAAGCCCAGTTCCAATTTGGGAGGTGGTGGCAGAGTCAGGAATAGAACCCAAGTGTCCCCAATTATTAAAATGTTGGCATTCAAGAGATGCCTCCCAAGAAAAGCATCTGATTGGGTTGCAATGCTCCCCGTCTTGCAGCCGGCTGCCCTCAACCTCACCCAGCCATGCCCAGCACTGCACGGGCTCCCTGGACTCACCAGTTAAGAGCTTCCCTGCTTCTCTGCTGCCCCATGCACGAGGGCTTGAAAGTCAGAGTGGCTCTCCAGATGGTAGCACAAGGCTCCCCCAGAGGTGGCACTGACAGTGCTGCCCGAGTCTGTTTGTACCTATAAGAGAAACAAAAGGGGAAGTTACAACACACTACAAACCACAGCACTTTTTCAGGATGATGACCCCACCCAAGAGCGGCTGAGAGGTGCTTGTGGCAGACATCAGACAATAGCAAACACCTTTGAGCATCGCAGAGGCCCTCATTTCCCCTTTGCAGCAGGCTCGAGGGCACACGGTCCCAGAGATTTGCCCTGTGAGCAGGAGTGGGTGGAAGGGAGCCCTCACTTTCCTGCCCCAGGGACAGCCGAGCCAAGCTGTGGGTTGTGACTCACCCGCTGCAGAGGAACTAGGGATGGGGAGAATACAAGGGTGACCCCGATGCGGGGGTGGTTGGAGGGCTGGATGCAACCCTCAGCCTCCGATCTCCCCGTGGCACCTCTGTTTGCCTAGTGGGCTGCACCTGGGACGTGCCCAGGCCTTATCCGCATCCGACAGCTTGTTCCCAGCTGCCACCGCAGACCTAGAACCACGCAGGCTGGAGACGTGCAGCTGGGGAAGGCAGAGCCGCTGATGGGGAAAGAACAAGAGCATCTACACGCATCTTCTGCCAGCTGCTGGGGGGTAGCAGAAAGCTTCTTTCAGCCTAGGGATTGGTCATGGCTTTGTAGGCAGAGCAAGAGACTCAGGTCCATGAGGTTCTGCCGGAGCCCGGTGTAACCCAGGCCCAGTGCCAAGCAGCATCATGCCAAGGAGGTACCACCTTGGTCCGGGGTGAGGCCCAGGCCAAGCATGACAAAGCCAGTGCCAGCTGGATGAACCCCTGTGCAAGGTACAGCCCCTGCTCAGCCCCCCGTGCCCTTGCTAAGGAAGGGACCAGCCGGGGCTTTTCCCCGCTACCTGCTCTGTGGGGGCCCATTTGTATCGTGTTATTCTCAGCGCCTGGCTCACAGTCACCGTCATGCCACTTGCACCCTGGTCTCAGGGGAGCGAAACCTCTCCACATGCACATGCACTGGCACTGAGCAGAGACCTGCTCTCAGCGGCTTCCACCTCGCCACAGCTGATGTGGGGTGCTCTGACCCGGATCTCCTGCCGAAGGGAAATCCCTTAGGTACCAGAAAGCACTGTCCTCCCTTGGCTTCTGCACCATGCAAAGAGACAGCGACCGAGAGTCACACCTGGGCTGGCAAAGGGCTGTGAACCATGCAGGGATGAAGTAGAGAGAGTGGAGGGCAAGTCGATTGCTGGAAGAAAAACCTGCTAGATTAGATCCGCCTGCTGGCATCAGCATTCACATCCAGCCGCCCACCCGTTCCACTCCCATGTCCTATTTTTCCCCATTCATCCTCCATCCATCCCTCTCCCTCCCTGCTTCTCCATGTTCTCTCTCATTATCCCCATACACTTTCTCCATCCATCCATCCATCCATCCATCCATCCATCCATCCATCCATCCATCCATCCATCCATCCATCCATCCATCCATCCCCATGCTTTCTCTCTATTCCCACATGCTCACTCACTCCTTCCTTCCTATCCCCAGACTTTCTATCCCCACATGCTTTTTTCATCCATCCATCCCCACATACTTTATCAACATTAGATGAATTAAACCCTATCTATCCATCCATCCCCATGCTTTCTCTGGATCCCCACATGCTTTTTCCTTCCCTCTACCCACCCTTCCCTCCCTCCTTCTCCATGCTTTCTTTCTATTCCTACATGCTCCTTCCTTCCTATCCCCACATCCATCCATCCCCATACTTTCTATCCCCACGTGCTTTTTCCATCCATCCATCCCCATACACTACCAACATTAGATGAATTAAACCCCATCCCTCCCTCCCCATACTTCCTCTCTATCCCCACATGCTTTTTCCCATCCATCCATCCCCACACACTGTACCAATGTTAGATGAATTAAACCAGTTGACCCACGGACTCATGGAGAGGTGTCCGAACACAACTGAGAATGAGGAACCATCATCAAAGCCCTGCCAGGGATGCAGTAGATAGCTTTGACTCTGCCCTGGTGCAGGGGGGCAGGGGGCAGCCTGGAGACCTCCCGGGGCTCCTGCCAGCTCTCTGCTCTATACTGGCTGCGATGATAAGGCAGGCGGGCTCTGGTCAGAAGCGGCAAGGACTGGCTCATTGATTTATGCACAATGATTTTCATCCAGGGGCTGGAAGGAAACATTGGATCAGTGCTGATAAAGAGCAGCTGACACAAAGATCGTCCCCGAGACAGAGCAGCGCTCCGGGTCACTTGGGAAACGCCTCACTTGAGCGCTAAGGGAAGGCCGTGCACGTGGGGGCAAAGGGGTGCAGCTCACACTGAGAGCAGAGAGATAAGTGGCGGAAGAGTTGCTCCACGCACCCTGCTGCAGCCACAAGTTGGTGATGCAAAGGGCATCCTCAGTACACTACGTAAAAGGCTGCACAAAGGCAGCTGATTGCCCAAACTCAGCCTAAAAATTGAGCTGGGACCAGGAACAGCCTGTGCCAAGCTTTCTGCCCCCCCCCCATGCAGGCTGTCCTCCCCACGGAGGTATTAAGCATGGTCCAGGTGTAGACGCAGGGATGGAGCAGTTGCAGAGCTTCCTGCCTGTGCTGTGAAGTCCAGGAAGCCTTGGGCTGGGGCAGCTGCTGGGGACCCTGCACCTGGTCCCTCCCTGCTCATCCTCCACAAAGCCACTTCACATCAGCGCCCTTTTGTTTCCAGTGCAGCCCGTTGCTGGAAACCCTCCGAGTCAGGGGCTGTGTCTTGGCAGGGGGGCGACAGGACACCAAAAGCAACTGATCTCATTTGGGGAGCTTACGGCAAGGTCATCGTAATAGTAATAATCTAAAGCCAGAGGCAGCATCCCATAGCCGACGGATGCTGTGGGGCTTCCTGGGGAAGACTCGTTGTTTCCCGGCACGGCGCAGTAATCCCCGTGAAGCATGTCTGACCAAACACGGCCGGATCATATGTATTAATATATGTACATGTATGTAATATATGTATGTATTTATCAGGGACCTCAGGGAGATGCCTTACCGCTGTTTGACATCTCCACCAGTGCTCCCAGCCCCTCCTGGTTCTTTGGACACCTCCCGCTTTGTCGGCAAGACCCTACTTGCCCGTGGCAGCTCCCCTTTCCACAGTAGGGACACCGGGTCCCCTCTCAAGCATCCCTCTGCCCAGCTAGGCCCCCCCGCCAGCCAATTCTCATAACAGCCCCCAAGTCCCTCCTGGACTCTGCACCAGCCCTCTCCTAACCACCCTCCTGCCCCTTCCCGCCCCACCAGGCTGGTGAAGCAGGCTCTCATCTGTTCAGCTGATGGGAAACGGCCAGCATTTGACCACCTGAGCAATCCCGCACGGTGGTAACACAGAGACACCCCCGTGCCACGGTGCACAAACATGAGACAGCCGCTATCCTGCACGTCTGAGGTCTGAATAAATGGAGGCAGGAAGCGGAGAGGAAGCAATGCGCTCGGAGCCGGCAACCAGGTGTGGCCGAGCCGGGACAGGAACCCAGCTCTCTCCGCAAGCCAGTGGCCTAACCACTGGGGAACACGCTGGTTGTTGCATCACAGCTGTGACATCACCACGCTACGCTGTGATGTCAGCAGAGCCTGTGCTCCCAGGGAACAAGTGCAGCTAGCCAGGCCCCACCGCTCTCTGGCCTCAGCCCTGACGCTGAGAGCGTTGCACCATCAGCTTATCAGGATGTGTTTTAGCTCTGTGGCTCCACCTCAGACCCAAGCCGGGGCCATTTCTACCCCCATCCTCAATCAACAGGCACTTGGAAAGCCTCCTGCTTCCTCATGCACATTATCTCACCTCCCACAGCAGTTGCTCCATGCTGCAAAGCACTTGCAGGTCCCTCCGGTTCCTGCAAGCATAGAAGGGGATGCATTAGGCTGGAATGGGGCTTTGCTGAGGACAGCACAACCACGGACAAGCTCCTCAAAAGCAACTAGAGGCAGGGGTGGGTGTGTAAGGGGAGAAGTCCCCACTGGGCGCAGCCGGGGGATGTTTGCACAGCGGCACTGGAAGGCATTGGGAGTGGGAGTGGAAGAAGGGAGACTGTCCGGGGCCACTGGAGCTCTAATGCTAGGATTTCAGGCTTTGCTCCATCTGGGACCAGGGGAAGGTGAGCAGTCCCCATAGACGGTCCCAGGAGCAGAGGGCACGCGAAGGGGGTCCAGGGCCCAATCCCATCACACACAGAGACCAGGTGGAGGTAGCGCAGGGCCAAGCAGAGGTGGCACAGGGCCTGATCCAGCCCAGCACACGACAAGGTTGTGCACCACTGGGCTACCCCAGTTTTTCTGCCCCCTTCCCTGGCAGCACGGCTTCCCCATCAGCAGGCTTGCTGGCATGGTGCAGGACCTTTCCACCTCCTGGTCACACAGCTCTGCTGGCAGACCCTTAGGATATAGCCCAGGCCCTCGGCATTTTGGAAACTTGCAGCCATAACTGCTAGCGCGTGCCAAGATCACTCGTGTGTGTAGTTTTATCATGCGTGTCTAGTCAACGCTATATTAAAACCGCTCTCAGCAGGAGAGGAGCCTGAGATTGCTGCACGCTTCAAACCTTCAACACCTTCTCTTAACTTTCCTGGGTGGTGGTTTCACAACTGCTGGTGTGACACGACACACCCTTTTATCAGCTCATCAAAGCACAGTTCAGCTCAGGCTGCATCCTCCTCTCATCAGGACTGCTGCGCCCACTGCTCTGAGCAAACCAAGAGGCTTTTTCTTATTTTAAATTGCAAAGAACAACCCAATGGCTCAGTGCATTTTTCTTTTCAAAGCAATAACCCCAGTGAATGTTAGACTTGAGGCTCATGGTGCTAAAGCCAAAGCTGACTACAAGATCTTCAAGTCACTGAAGTTGAAGCATTAAGCAACAGGCGTTTTTTTGCTGACAAAGTTGAACCACTCGACTGGAGGAAATCACTCTATCTGACCCAGAGGTTGTTGACAAGCTGAAGGGAGCTTTTTATGCTCCATTGCAGTTCACTCGGCTCAGTCTGATGACCGGTTTGTGCAAAGTTCAGCGACCAACTGGGGATGCAAGAAAAAGGACTGAAAATAAAAAAAAGCAAGCAATTAGGTATGAGAGGATGAACTCTATTCATTCTACAAACCAGAAGGACCTGGAGATGAGGACACTTAGCCCCTTTCAGTAATGACAGACAAGACTTCTTTTGTTTAAGACTCAGAATCAAATGCAAAATGGGCTTTGAGATCCACCCCCCCTTTTATATCCAGGACATTTCAAGGTTGTTTAGAGTTATTTTGTTAGTTAAATACAGCTTTTCTTTAACGAACACAATCATTCTGAAATGTTGTTTCTCTGCATTAGTAACTGAACCCCCATTTCCATCCAAATAGAGCTCGACAAAAATGATGAGAAAGGAATTAGTTATCTGGCAGAAACAGAAACATCCCATTCATTCTTTTCAGCATAAGGAAAGGACGGTAAAACTACAAATCCGACTTGAAGGAGATGGTCTTGCATTCAAAACCTTGTCTCACTCTCCCAGCGACTGATGTCATGCCAAGAAATCCTTGTGTCTCACCTTACTGCTGGGATATCATGGAGACATCACTCCAACGCTACCAAATCTCCATAAATACATATTAAACTTTGCGACTGCTTACATGATTAAAAGGCAGAGGTAGATGCTATTCTCCTGGTTGGGCGAAAGAGATGCCGCATTCACACAAATGTGTAACGGTTACCAAGCAAAGGAAACAAAAGTATGACGGCAAAACAGGATAAAAATCAACGATCAAAATTAAGGTTCCTGCCTGTGCTTGTGAGCCACAATTAGAAGTGGGGAATTTAAGGCACTTTGATTTAGATGTATCCCTCCTCCTTGAGCCACCCCAAGAGGCCAGCTGGTCCGCTCCTAGCTGGGTGGCAAGAGTTGAATGCTCTGATGGTTAAAGGGGCGAAGGAAGACGTCTTCCCTCCCCTCCGCAACCTGGGCCAGTCCCAAGGCAAGCGCAGCACTCGGCTGAATTGCCCACTCACATGAATTGCTCTTCCAACCCGGTTTGCTTTAAATGCCTGCTGTGGGCTGCAAGGCCTGTGCACAGAGATACGCCAGCCCTCTTGCACCCCTCTGACCATCGCTCTCTGCCTTTAGACCGCCTGCTCCCCATTGCCCATAGGTGAGGGCTGTAGTCACCAACAGGTTTCTATTTAATTATGAGCTGCCCTGCCTCAAGTTTAAGGTTGCACCCGCTGGCACTTGCCAGACCGTTTTGTTGTCCAGCTGTCCTGAGTTGGCTGGCTGGGCCAAGACCTTGACCCTTGCCAGCCCTACATGTCATCTCCCCAGCTGGACTGGTTTTTAGCTGCAGTCTCTCTATCTGCTGGGGGCCAGAGCTACCCAAACCTCTGTCCCCTGGAGGGTTTGTCTCAGGCTCCTCTGGTCAGGGCGTTGCTTCTTCTGACCATGCCCAGCCAGACTGCTCTGACACCACTTAGCTGCACCGGCCTCTCTCTCTCCATGCACAATGGTCAGACCCAGCCTTGGCTTCATGCAAAAGCACCAGGTCCAGCATCCTCCCCATGCACTCTCTGGCCACAACCAGGAGGGAGCCAGCTCTCACGGCTGCTGAGCCGCATGGATGTGCCCCCGTGCAAAAGGCTCCCCCCAGACCTGGTAACAATATGACTCAATTCAGCTTCGGTTTGACTGAACGGGCAGATTTAACCCCAGGAAAGGGCCCGACTGGTCCGACCCTCATGGTTTAGATACCACCTGGGTCTCCCTGCCTGGAGCGCCGCTAATCTCGGTCACTCGAGTTGGACTTTTTCCATCTGGTAGCAAGCCCCAATGTGCGGAGAAAGGCCTTCAGGTCATCTGCAGAGCAGAGGCTCCCCAGTGCTGCCCGAGGTACCCTGTCCCAGACCAGACAGGCTGAGGGAAGCCACATCCCAAGGGTCTTTGCTGGCTCTCCAAGCGACACAGGGTTATGTAAGACCTGCTAATGTTATGCCATTGCCACCAGGCCAGAATGTCATCCACCTTTTCCACATGCGCAAGCGGGCATCCCGGCCCCTGGTTTTGCTTGCTACACTTATTCCCTTCTGCTGCTGCCTCAGTTTCCCCTCATTTCCACAGTCTGTCTTCCTGCCATGTCTCAGCCAGCGGACTCCCCTCACTTGACCAGGGAAAGCATGACACACCAGCCTCCCCTGGGCCCTTCTCTCTCAGAACAAGTGAATACTACTTGGCCAAAAACATAAAAGGATTTCTTTGGCCATGCTCCCCTTGCCTCTCAGCATCAAGGGCATTTGCACTGACTGCTGCAGGTTGCTGCTCTCCTATCTCTGCCTTCCTCCCATCGGGGCTTCCTAGCTGGGTGGGATGATCAAAGTAGGCAGGCTAGTCCCAGACCTCCTGGATTTTGGGGGGAAGACCGTCTTATTGCAGCTCCCAGAGAGATACGAAGCCGAGTGGCTCCAGTATGAAACTCCAGCGGTAGAACTGGGCTTAGCCAGATACCCCTTGGGTCAGAAAGCCAACCAAATTAGATGATCAGCTGCTCTACAGAGAGGGGAGCTCCTTACTAGAGTTAATTGGGCACAGTCTAACGTGATGTGTTTTTGGCTGGAAGAATTCATAGGAACTAACAGCGATGCAGGGGACAGGGCTGGCGGCAGGGAGTCAGTTGGGTGTTTCACTATGCCTCACACTGCCATTCCCGAAACAACCAGCCCTTGTGTCTCGGTCTGAATTGACTCTGTTTCAAGATTTCAAGACAGGAGTTTTGGCCCAAATACATCAAGAAAAAATGGGCGAGATCGAGATGCAACGGCTTAAAATGAGCAGAATAAAACTTTGCCGTTGGTCCAATAGGCATTTCCCCTCCCCAGCCCCCTGAGATCATCAATTCATGGGGATTTAGGAGATGAACATTTGCTTCCAGCTCAGGACACAAGAGGCTGAAAATCTCTCAAGGTCTCGCAGGAAGGGAAATGACATCTAGGCCAGGTCCACGGCTCGACTTTCATAATGCCTCCCCCTTCCTCCTGTCCTAGTTCATTGGCATCACTGTGGTGTCCAAATGCATGACATAAATGAGCTCCCGCATTTGCTTAAAGTCAAGTTTCTTACTCAGAAAACTCCCCTCTCACTGGGTGCGTCTGCACATAATAACAGGTACTAACTTAACGTGCCATAATCGGTGCACAAATGAACAGTCTTTTGGGGGCGTTAATGCGCAGTAGATTAAATCTACTGCACATTAGCTCATTCGATGGGCTCTGCCCGCCGTGCTACTGTGCAGTAGAATTAGTCTACTGCGCTTGAAGTGTCTTGTGTAGACATGCCCACTTGGTTTTTGATGGGCCCTTGGAAACCTAGCCCAGCCAGAGAACACCAAACCCTTGGGTCAGAGCTTAGGCAAGCCCTCCAAGGCTCAATTAGAGCTTGCATCAATTGACCCCTTGCTTCCCCTCCCTGCCAAATGGCACGTGCACATTTATGGTCACCTGGGTGCTGTGTCCCCTGTGGGTCCCCAAGACCTCTCTGGAAAGGGGATTCTCCAGACCCTTCCCAGAGGGTGAAGCGACTTGGCCAACGTCACACAAAGCGAGTGGCAGAAGCGGGGATGAACCCAAGACCCCCC